TTCAACAACAAGACTAGTGCCGCTGTTCCCCGCGTGCGCGCTTTGATGTTTGATGTTTCCTCCTCCACGAAAGATGGCATATGATCCGCGCCAACTTTTGTGAGAGAAAAAATACTAACTAGCCTAAGCCTATTTACTTTTCTTTTTCCCTCTCGCTCTTTGTGTGCTCATATTTCAGCTGATCGCAGCTTGAGTCTATGCAGGATATTTTTGGGCATGTTATGGGCATGTTATCTCCCCTTGCTCTCCCATGGGCATCTATATTTGACAAGTCTGACTGAATAAAATGAGGACGATTGAAACTAGAGCTACTACATCTGTTAGCCTACAAATACGTGGTTTTGCTGAGGGCACTGTGCTTTTACGCATAATGGACACGCATATGACGTCGTTTTTGTTGTAAAACTTGAATATGCTCTTTTAGTTTTAGAGATATTAATACATATTATTCTATTCAGAATGCGTGCGTCATTGTGCATTGTTGTCCCGCCTTACGTGTCACTCACAGTTAAAATGTAAATAACCAATTCAAACATAGCATTTTTACAACTTGAACTTTAAGAAAAAAATGATCAAAGGAATCAGTGTAAAATAAGATCAGAAAAGCTCAATTCATGATTGTTTAATTAGGTTTCCCATTTTTAAATACAATTGGAAACGCTCAGATTTCACAAATATTGAAAAGTTTATTGGCTCCTACAGTGGGGGGAATAATAATAATAATAATTATAATAATAATATAACCCCCTGAGCATCATCACGTTCCTAGTTGCTTCAAATATAGTCCTGTTTATTGGCTGAACAATTTTGTCCAATATCATATCACAGCGTGAAGCGAGAACAACCAGCTATTCCTCGTCTTAAAGATTGACAACGCTCTCAAAGCATTCACAACAGAGCAGCCTTTTTCATTTTAGTTTTAAGACAGTTCAGCGTGAACTTTGTGAGGTAGAGTAGCCAGAGGCCCGGGCCCGTAGGTCCCAGAGGAGGAGGGTCAGGCCAGGCTGGCCTCGCACTGATGAGGTAAACTCTAGGCCTGTGTGAGACACACTGTGGGCCTCATGTATGAAACCTGCGTACGGACAAATCAGGGTAAATGAGGCGTACGCAAAATATTACTCTTTTCCGCATTTATCTATCTGGACGTGAGCGTACAATACGCCAAAAATATACGCCAGGTCTGGAGGTGGTGTAAATCTATACGCTGAACTCAACCTTCGGCACAACACGCCAAAACACGCATGAAATTCAAGATATGGACAACAATAAACATATTCCCTCTGGCAAAATTATAAGCTGTGTTTTCATTGAGGATCATGTTTCAAAATTTGAATTTGCGCATCAGAAAAAGTCTAATGGAAACACGCAAACTTCGAATAAATCACAGCTCATGATGAGGACCCTCTATTAAATCTGACTTGTGTGTGTATTATTTTGATCTGTATGTTTTTAAAATGTGAAGCGCTTTGTGATCCTGGACAGTCAAAGGCTCTATATAAATACACTTTACGCAACAGGGATGTGTGACCCATCTATTGCTGTGGCAGGCTCTGCGCTGCGTAATTACGCACGGCTATTTGTATTCCTCATTCACATCTGGTAAAGCAATGTGTTATTTCATTAGATTTGTGTAAGCCTCACACAGACACACACCCCAATAACGCATCGATGGTATTGCTCACTCACAAATGTCTCACTGCCCTGTCCAAAGTGCGCAGCGAGTGCCTAGAGAGGTCGGCCACATGTGCAGAAGTTTTGGCTCCAGATAGGGCTGGGCGGTATAAACGGTATAAGCGGTATGCGGTATAAATTTGGCCCACGGTAGAGATTTTTGTTATACCGGCATATTGCGATAGGTCATTATGTCATCAAATTGCGCAGGCTCTGACGCCAGCAGAAAGGACCAAAACAAACCATTCAGCAGCATTAGCCTAGCACTATTAGCCTAGCAGACACCACTGGAAACAACAGCACGGCTTTCACACCGTGTTTCTGTCTCTGTATTGTTGTCACAGCGGCCCCAGCAGAGGTAAATACACACACAGTAATCACAGTTTACATGTCTACCTTTCGGCCAATGAGTGTCAAAGGGGCGTAGGCTCGAAGCGCCATCGTGAGCCGAAATAGATCCATGCTTGTGCCGTGTCCGCATAATCTCAGAAGTTTTGTAAAGTTAGCGTCCGATTCAGACTTCCGCGGTCAATAGATCACGAAAGCTACTTTGTTAAACAAAATTAATTGTGCCAAAATGAGCATTTACATCAATTGTTCAAATCAAATGCGCTGTTTTAATGCAGATAAATCCATTGAATCATCCAGTTCACAGCAAGCGCTTAGGGAGCGTCAACAAATGGCAAGACTAGCTTTGTAAACGAACAATAGCTTTTACTGAAGCCATGCATACGCACTAAACTCTGACACTATAAATAATGACCATGTCTAACTGCTACAGATATTATATAATATATTTTAATATTATTTAAAATTGCTTTCACAGTTAATGGTCTTTACTGTAACATACATAAATAATGTATGTTACAGCATTTGTCTCTGACCTGATTTTCAAACTCAAAAAATATATATCAGATTCTAATGTATAGATAAGTAACAATCTTGACTATTTTATGCAAGAACCTGCTAAACCTATATTGAAATTCACACACCAAATTATACCGTGATGTATACCGTCTACCGTCTGTGACCCAAATCATACCGCGATATGAATTTTAGGCCATATCGCCCACCCCTAGCTCCAGAGTTTCTTTGTGAAATGTGGACCGCAAACGCTCTCTGAAGTGTACAGCGCCTCAATGCGCACTTCTACCCCGAGCCAGGCTGCGTCCAAGACGCTGCAGACGCTTCATTCAGAGCCACCGCTGCATAATATATATGAATTATTCATTCATTCAATCAATCTATATTTATTCACTTCTACAATTCAAGAAAGATTTTTCTAATGTATCAAAACATTTTGGCAAATTTGTTCAAAACGCAGCTGAATATATAGCGCATATTTATTATTACATAAACATGAACAAACAAACGTCCCTTTTGAGGCTTCCAAACAGTCTTTTTGGCCGGCTTCCTGCTGACCTGTCACGAAGACGGGGCGTGAAACACGCGATTGCTGCATAATTAGGCGTGACTAAATACGTTCGTATTCAGCCGATTTATCAACACCCGCAGCTATATCAGAACTGGGCGGATCTCACATGTTCATAAATCCGACGTTGGATTTTGCGTAAATGGAATATACACCCAAAATGTACTTTTTCTACGCAAGTTTCATAAATGAGCTTGTGTGTATGTGCGCGTGTGAGTGCGTGTGCGTGCGTGTGTGCGTTTGAACCATATTCTTTGAAACCCCAATTCCAGTTAGCCCTTGTAGTTTGCAAGCGAATTTGGCCTACTTACTAATCTGCAGGCCTACCCAAAATTGCAAACCTGGCGCCGATACTGTTGCGAGGATGAACAGAGGGAGATATGTTTCCAAAAAGAAAAGGTGGTAGAGCTAATTTTACTTTTCTTATCTGCAACACGTTCTTATTCTGAGGTGGTAGGTTGTAAAAATGTAGTTGGCTACTACAATGCGAGATCTACAAGGCTTATAATATAAAGTATTCAGTAGCCCTATAGACTAGTTATGAGCGAAAGCCGCTTGTTGCTCCATTATCCGCGCGCAGCGGTGTTCCCCGGGAACACCGGACCCGGGGAACATGGGACCCGGGGAACATGGGACCCGGGGAACATCGGGCCGACCCCGTAGCAGCAGTAGCAGGAGCAGTAGTAGCAGTAGCAGCAGCAGTAGTAGCAGTAGCAGCAGCAGTAGCAGCAGCAGCAGCAGTAGTAGCAGCAGTAGCAGCAGTAGCAGCAGCAGTAGTAGCAGTAGCAGCAGCAGTAGCAGCAGCAGTAGCATCAATAGTAGCATCGGTAGCAGCAGTAGTAGCAGAAGTAGCAGCAGCAGTAGCAGCAGCAGTAGCATCAGTAGTAGCATCAGTAGTAGCATCAGTAGCAGCCGTAGTAGCAGCAGTGGCAGCAGCAGCAGTAGCAGCAGCAGTAGCAGCAGCAGTAGCATCAGTAGTAGCAGTAGCAGCAGCAGTAGTAGCAGCAGTAGTAGCAGTAGCAGCAGCAGTAGTAGCAGCAGTGGCAGCAGCAGCAGTAGTAGCAACAGTGGCAGGAGCAGCAGTAGTAGCAGCAGTAGCAGCAGCAGCAGCAGTAGTAGCAGCAGTAGCAGCAGCAGTAGCAGTAGTAGCAGTAGCAGCAGCAGTAGTAGCAGCAGTGGCAGCAGCAGCAGTAGTAGCAGCAGCAGCAGCAGTAGCAGCAGTAGTAGCAGCAGTAGCAGCAGCAGTAGCAGCAGCAGTAGTAGCAGCAGTAGCAGCAGCAGTAGCAGTAGTAGCAGCAGTAGTAGCAGTAGTAGCAGCAGCAGTAGCAGCAGCAGTAGCAGCAGCAGTAGCAGTAGCAGCAGCAGTAGTAGCAGCAGCAGTAGCAGCAGTAGCAGCAGCAGTAGCAGCAGCAGCAGCAGTAGCAGCAGTGGCAGCAGCAGCAGTAGTAGCAGCAGTAGCAGCAGCAGTAGCAGCAGCAGTAGCAGTAGCAGCAGCAGTAGTAGCAGCAGCAGTAGCAGCAGTGGCAGCAGCAGCAGTAGTAGCAGCAGTAGCAGTAGCAGCAGCAGTAGTAGCAGCAGTAGCAGTAGTAGCAGCAGCAGTAGCAGCAGTGGCAGCAGCAGCAGTAGTAGCAGCAGTAGCAGCAGCAGTAGCAGTAGCAGCAGCAGTAGTAGCAGCAGCAGTAGCAGCAGTGGCAGCAGCAGCAGTAGTAGCAGCAGTAGCAGCAGCAGTAGCAGCAGTGGCAGCAGCAGCAGTAGTAGCAGCAGTAGCAGCAGCAGTAGTGGCAGCAGCAGCAGCAGTAGCAGCAGTAGTAGCAGTAGTAGCAGCAGCAGTAGCAGTAGCAGCAGCAGTAGTAGCAGCAGCAGTAGCATCAGTAGTAGCAGTTGTCTGATCACTCACTTGTCTCCATCGTCCTTGCCTGTCCCTGAGACGTCGTCCCCCTCGTGGCCCTTGCCGTTGGGGATGGCGTGGAGCTCGACGGCCCCTGGATCCATGGTCTCTGCTGGTTTGTCTTCACTCATGGTGTCTGCTCTGTGCTCAGCTCTCAGTCTGCTCTGGTCACTCTGAAAGATCACAGAGAAGAGGGTTAAGCACACATCCCAAACAAGATCATGTCGTAAGATTAAGAGATTTGATTTAATTGTTCTATGTTTATTTATGTATATAGATATTATTTCATTTTATTTTAGTTTAATTGCTTTCATTTAAACCTGGCAGACTTGTATATGTTAATGTGTTGTATCTGTGCAGCACTTTGGAAATGTGTTTTATATGTGTTGGATTGGAGATCCTTTTATCGTTCCACAGCGGGGGAAATGCCAGTGTTGCCAGTTACAGAACAGTAGGAATGAGGAGCACACCACACAAAATAAACAAAATTAAATTAAAAAAGTTATGGAGAAGTATAGAACACTTGCATTTAAATATGTATTACACAATTTTGATTTTGTTAAAGTTTAGGTTTTGTGGAATGTTACCATCGTTGGTTTAAGAGAAACTGTGAAATGTGTCATCAGTCTTGACTTCACCCTACACATTCTTAATCTTAAGAAAGTAAGTAATGTTTATTTATATACCGCCTTTCACAGACCAGAGTCACAATGCGGTTTACAATTGTTATTTTTTGGGCATTTGTCTCTCACTCCACACAGAGATGAGAGCGGGGCCAGTACAGGAGGCGCATGCCAGATCTATTGTACATGTTTTTAGTGGTACTAGAAACCGGAGTACCCGGAGGAAACCTACGCAGACACGGGGAGAACATGCAAACTCCACTCAGAAAGGCCTTGGTCCGACCGGGATTCAAACGAGAGTGCTATCCACTCAGCCACCGTGCTGCTCGGTTATAAATAAATAAATAAACGTTTTGGTTTTTTTCTGGTTGTAAAATGTATAAGATCTTTGAAAACATGTGACCTAAATATTCACAATGACCGAAGAAAATAAACGACTACTACTACTACTTTGTGACGGACTGCTTTACTATGCTGGAATGTTCCATGGGACGGTATTAAAGGGAACTCTACTCTATTCTACTTTACTCTATATTTGAGCAATCTACCCACAACAAACCAGCATTTGTGGGCATTCCTTGGTACCTCGGCTTCCAGCACAAAACCATAAACATTCCATAAAACACAAAAATATTGCCAAACAAAAAGAAAGTTGCAGACCACATTTTTAACAAATTTTTACTTAAAATGAAGCAAGAAAAGAGTAGCCGGTAGACATATAGAACATGTCTAAAACTAAATAATGATTTGCATAGCTTTCTCACAGACAATATGAAAGTGAATCTCCAGAACACACCGCACACCTGGTTTAAAGGTTTAAATCTACGATAATGTTTGGTGTTTTTAACTAACCTGATGCTGTATAAGAAATGTATGTATTTGAGGGAGAGTGAGTGAACTAACAAACACACACAAACAAAGTCCGGGATATTTCTGTGTGTAAACTCAACGTGGGAATTGGCAAATATGTGATTCAATAGATTCAATAGTATTGCAATATCTGGGCCACAATTCAATATTATTGCGATTCTTAACATAATACAGCAAGTATTCTGTGATATATTACATTACTCATTACATTAGGCATGAATGAAATGAGAGAATGGATGGTGTTGATTGGAGTCTTTGATGCACCAGTGTGTTCGGCGACTCGCTTCCGTCATCACCGTGTGTGGAGAAAATGGAACAATATCTCTGAACAATTGTAAAGCGCTTTGGGTGACCTTGGTCTGTAAAATGCACATTATAAATAAACCTAACTTACTCACTCACTTACTATTAAGAAAATGGAGGATATCCTTGAACATTCAGGATAAAGGACCTTATTACAGAACAAGACATAATTATTTTCTGAATTGGAGACCTCTCACATGAATGGTGAGCTCCCAGCACATAACTTGAATTATTCAAAAACAAAAGAGAAAAATAATTCAGACATATTAGAGTAACATAAACCTCAGATGTAAATAACCAGAGTAAACTCAGAGAAAACACAAAAGTGAAACCGTTAATTGTTTCATTCCATCCATCCATCCATTTTCTTCCCCTTAATCCATTTCTGGATCGGGGGGGTGGCAGTCAGAGCTGCACCCAGTACACTTAGCACCAGCCCCTCACTGATCCTCCTGCAGGTGGTGAGTCTACAGGAGCTGAGATCTTTCAGTGGGAGCTTCAGGCAAAGTGGGGTTAAGATCTTGCCCAAGGACACAACGACAGCAGTCATCAGTGGGAGTCGTGAAGTAGGTCTTATGGTGGGCTTGAACCCACGACCTTCAGGCCCAAAGGCCAATGCTCTACCAACTGAGCTACTGTCGCCCTTGCAATTCTTGCTCTACTGTATCGATTGAGGTGCGAGTGTAAAATATCGCGATACTGAACAGAATCGGGTTTTTTTCCCTCACCACTAATAACACACAGGGACAGTGTCGCTCCCCACAAGCCATGTCTGCACACACAAAAACAACTATTGATTAATTTAGTTTTACTGTGTTTTTTTTACCATGAATTCGAAACAGGGGAACCAATTCTGTCGCTGTGTTGTCCAGGCATCACAAGTTAGATACACTAACCCTAACCCAGCTCTAATACGTCTTTCCACCAACCTCCGCAACTCATTTCCTGTCACCTTGGTACCGAAAACAGAAGTTCAGTCTGAAATAATGACTGAATAGCTGCAGTTTTGGCATCCCCTCTGCATAAGTGACACATCCAGTGACAGACCTACGCACAGAGGAAGCAGCCTTTGCCCCGGGCTAATCCACCCTGGGGCCACGGTTTCCCCGGCATCTACCTCCCCCCCATGCCACCCCAAGTCCCCCCCTCTCTCCCTCTCCGCTCGGTGACACCTTGCCTGGGCACTGTTGACCAAAAGCTCCCCCTCGCTGGCCGCTCCTCAATGATGTCCTTTGCTCAGCTGCTTAAACACCAGCGCCGGCCACAAAGGGAGGTGATCGAGGCCCCAAAGATGCTTGAACTCTTAGTGAATGAGGGGACGGGGAACCAGCTAAGACCAGATCCAAACCAGTTCTGCGTATTCGGGGCCCTGTGTTGCTGCTTGTGCTGGAGTGAAGGAGGGGAGGGTACTTGACATGGAGCTACAACTGTTGTGTGTGTGTGGAGGAAAGACAGTAAAGTTTGGGATATTTGGGATATTTATGCGTAAACTCAGCGACCCCAGACACTGCAGTAACATGTTTTGATCTCTACATGCTGCCGTTAGGTCAGTTAATGTGCAGAGACACTATGTCCTATCAGAACTATGCAGATCAGTGAGTGGATGCAAAATAACTTTCTTCAGCTAAACTCAGACAAAACTGAAATGATTGTCTTTGGTCCCAGAAACAAAGAGAAAGCGTCATCTACAGCCTACAGTCCATCTCCATAAAACCTTCAAATCAAGTCAGCTATCTAGATTCAGATTCAGATTCATTTATTTGCCATTTGCAGTAAAACCACATTGGAAAAACTGTGCAAGACTACCCCGGTGTGCGCCAGACAGAGACGACACACACCAGAGCTCTTGCCACGGCGCCATCTTTCCGGCGCCATGCGACAAACAGTAGAATAAACAGCAGAGAGCAATAACATACAGGTTACAACAGACAGTTGGATAGAAAACATTGTGCTTTGTATAAACCACGGATTTTTTTTCGGGATGAGCACCTTCCGCAGCCGGCCCAATGTGGCTGTCAGAGGGGGGCGGGGTCAGGGAGGGGGTGAGCCGGAAACACAGTGAGGAGGGGAGGGGAGGGAGAGATCAGAGGGAGGCGGGGGGAGCGGGATCCAAGCTGGAACTGACTGAAAGAGTGTGAAATTGTTGTAGAGACCAGATTTATTATTATGGCCTTGGCCCGAGGAATGTGAGATAAGAGTAGAGGGAAGACACAGCAAGGAGAAAAACACATCTTCCTGTAACGAGGGACAATGTTTTATGCATTTTAGCAGTCAAAAACAGGCAGATATTCTATTAAATCCAATTAAACCGAATTGCGGCGCCCTCAGACCCCGTACACAGGGGCCAATCCAAGCCGGGTCAGAGAGTTCAAGCGTGACAAACAATGTCATTCAATCTCAATTCCAGAGTTTTATGCCCATCAAGTGAACGAGCTGCGAGATCTCTGATCAACTGTTCCACTAACACCACTCTTCTTTGTCCAGCCACAGCGCTCTCAACCACGACTCGGTTAAGCTCCTTGTACATCCCATCAATTTTGTTGGCCAGCAGGTCGTGAATCTTGCGAACTGCCATGCCTCCGAATTTATGGTAGAATAGAACCGCTCCAAACCCAAACAGGAGGATCCCCACCACCAAAAAGCCAAAGATATATACGTCTTCCGAATCTTCAATGGACAGGGTCGACAGACAGAGGGGCTGCCACTTGTTCCAGCTGTCAAGCGTATAACCCGCTGGTGAAGTCCCGTCCGGGCACTCGGGCTCTCCAGACCCGCGCTTACGTGTTGAAAAGATAGAATCAATTGCGTTGAGGGACCAATGAGTATCTACGAGTAATAATGAACTCAGAATTTAATTCAACTCATCAGATCAGTAACATCAGCAGCTTTATACCATCTGAAAAATATCAGAATATGAATATATAGTGTGAAAATATATTATCTAAAGCGGCCGGCTCACTGGTCTCTCCAAACGAGCGGTAAAACTGCTGCAGCTCGAGTCCTGACTAGAACCAGGAAGTTCCTTCAAATTAGTCCTGGTCTGAGGTCTGGACTTGCTTCCTATGGCTCAGTGAATGCACTTATAAGCAGTTATGCTTATGTCATATCTGGAACAGTCTTCTTGAAAATGTGAGACAGGCTTCAATTCTGACATTTTTTTTTTTAAATCCAGGTTAAAACAGTTCTGTTTAGCTGCATACAACTGAAAGATTGTATCTTCACTCTGATAACTGATGATTATTCATAATTTCAACTTATTCTTGTTTTGTTCAGAGCTTTGAGTTGACTTGTGTATGAACTGTACGATACAAATAAACTTGCCTTACCAACTAATATTTAGAAAATGCTCAGATCGACAGCAGATGCCAATACTAAAA